TGAGCAAATTTTACAAGCAAATTTTCCATACATGCAAATCTATGCCACAACAATCCCACAGGTGTGCCTCTCTACTACATCTCTATAGCCTAGTCTTTACTTGACTCCAGCTCATGTAACTTTATCAGATGCTTATTAAAGACTAATAAGTTGCTTATTAGCTGGAATAAGTGTTTGATTAAGTCACAATTAGAGCAAAGTGGTCAGTATTTGTTAAATACACACAAATGGCAATTCATGTGATGTGGAAAAAACATTTTTTATATTTAATTTCTATATGGGTCTGAAAATATTTTGCACAACAAGATTCTAACAACGCCATGGTATAACAGGGCTAAGTTTGTCTTGTCATGCTGTTAGGGTTCATGGGATTGCGGGACGCCATTAAAACACATCACAGTGAGAAAGCTGTGTTTGATGACATCATCACTATTTTTGCTCCTACTTTTGCTTGAAGCACTTGACATCACACGCTGTGACTCATAGCATGCTCTGAAAAACATGTTACCGTGCACATATGTGAAAGACCTCACACATACATAGGGATGTGCAAAACAGCATATTTTCAAACCCAACTAGTCGGTGGATTGAAAAAAACACTGTATAATTATGGATCCAAAAGACTGATCAAACGCATTTCTTAACGTTCACACAAGATGTGTTTTTGTGTTCAAGTACAGCTTTGAGCAGATGAATGGAAAGGAAATCAAGCATTTTTAAAAGTTGAACTGTTTTTAATTTGACACAGTGTCTTGAGAACAGACAGCGCGACCAGTGTTACAGATCAATTGATTCTTACGAGGTGGTTCTTTTTAGTGAATCACATACAGCAATACCAGTAGTTTGACTCTCAAAAAAAGAGTCTTAGGTAAATTATTTTAGTGACTCAAAAAAAAACAAAAAAAACAGCATGTCTGGTGCAGTCCATAACAACAAACTACTCAAATTAGATGGTTATTTTTAGTGAATTAAACATACACAACTTACAACTGAGAAGTCTGTGCAGTTAATGACTGGTTGTGCATAATACAATGTGTAGTTAAAAGATGCACATTACAAATTTTGTCAGTAGTATTTTACAAAAAAAAAAAAAACAGTATCTTGTTGGTTTAGCATTTAATATGTAGTGCTTGATATGACAATTATTCGATTGCATTTATGGTGCCTTTAAAAAGACCATTAAAAGCTATTAACAATCTGTATAAACAGAACTTTTATTGATGATCTCATCATTTGGCAATGATTTTTATTAGGTATACAAGCACTAAAATAATTCTCAATGGAACCAATTAAGACAACAATGAATCCAAAACCAGAATATTTAAATTAGATTTCCAACAACCAACTAGTCGATTAATGATGTTGGTTATTTTTCAACCACTCTTTAAAATATTGAAAATACTAAAAATACTACAACCCACACATACTTTTCCACTTTTTCTGGCACACACTTGTGAGTTGTGACAATACACCGCAATAATTCTCTCATCATTTAAGCCCACTAAAAACCGTTTAACTTTGCAAATGGATGAAAATAAAAGCATAAACACACTTGCACACATGGGATCATTGCTCTCAATTTCCTGGTGGGACTGAAATAATCCAAGTCCTTCAGAAGTCCATTCCAAATCCCATCTTCATTGTTTGGTGACCTCCTTATTCAATTAGATTCTAACACACACACACTTCCTACTTTTAAACATGGCCTGTACACACTCAGCAGCTCTCAGTTCTTTCCTTGAGTGTGTATAAAAATTTATGAATTTGTAAGTGAAAGGGAGAGAGAGAGAGAAAGAGATCGAGATGAGGAAGCTGTATTATTCATGTGAATCACTATTTTAGTTTGAAGGACATTCAAAGAATGAGAAGAGGAGCATTTGCTAGAACACTGCTGCAAACACATGCTCTCAATGTGCTTTGAGCAGCTGCTACACATCTAACCATGTATTGTTCTACAGCAGTATGATAAACTGGATTATATTTGTTTATATCTGAACGGCTGTGAACGCACACATGGACTTTCTTTCACAGATATATGACATCAGGATGCAGCCACAAAACACTGTTTGTATATTCATGCAATCAAACACATAATACAAAGCGAGAGGCATCCTGCATGCTGTGCTTGTCGCCCTTTGATGATGAAAGCATCTGTCGGAGCATGTGTCCTACTGGCCTCTGGTTTGATAATGAACGAGTGTTGCAAATTACACACTGACCCATGCTGTGACATTCAAAACATATACCAACAAACATAAACCCTAAACTATTTTATGTGTTAAAGGGGTCATATGATGCGATTTCAAGTTTTCCTTTCTCTTTGGAGTGTTACAAGCTGATTGTGCATAGATAAGATCCCTGAAGTTGCAAAGACTAAAGTCTCAAATCCAAAGAGATATTCTTTATAAAAGTTAAGACTCTGCCACGCCCCCCTAAAACGGCTCGTTCTAACACGCCCCCACATATCTACCTCACTCAAAATAATGATCTTTAAAAAAGCATCATATGACCCCTTTAAGAATGTGTTCATAATGTTCCCATCATGTTATGACAATGTTATTTACAATCTGTCTATTTCTTTTTTTAATTTATAGTTCTTTCATCATTTACTCTCTCGTGTTTTTGCATCCCCTGTATGACCATCTTTCATCTGAGGAGCACAAAATAAGATATTTTCAAGAATGTTAGTAACCAAACAGTTTTGGCTACCCCTGACTTCCATTATATGGACAAAAAAAAACAAAAAAAACACTGAGACATTTCTTAAAATATCTTCATTAATGTTTACTCAAGAAAGAAAGTCATTCGGAATGACATGAGGGTGAGTAAATGATGACAGGATGTTTATTTTTGAGTGAACTATTCCTTTAAAAATGTCCTTGGTTATATGAAGGTTATGAAAACATTAACAGAATGTTAAGCACACATAATAAATAAATTATATAAAGCAATAGTGTTGCTCTGTTTGGCCGACCAAGGGTGGTCGGGTAGTGTTCCAAATATCGTTATATTTGCTTATCCATTTGGTGATGTTAGTGGTGCAGAAATTACACACTTCAGCTTGAAGACACTAAGATTGGGAATACAAAACACCCCCATCAAGGCAAGCAGAGCAAACCAAAAAACCCAATCTGAAAAATACAGCTCCACCCTGCGTGTGAACTCTCTACGAAATTCAGCACACCACCCACGGACAAAACACAAGAATACAGGGAACATCTTGACAGAAAACAGAAACTCAACGAATATAGAATTGTCTCATTTATACAAAGAAAACCACGAGTACCAACACATAGCTGTGCAAACTATACATTTCATAAATGATCTTTCACTTAACTGGCATCAGCCAAGTGTTTTAAATTGACCTGTTATCTTGCATTAAATGTCATACACTATCAAATATCCTAAAATAAGACAAATGTTTCTTGACAGTTTCTTTGAAAAGCAAGTAGGAAGTAAACTGCAAGTGTCATCACATAATTGAGCAAAATGCAGCAAAATCAAATCTTAAAGAAACTGTTCTCCTAAAAAAATGCTAATTCTGTCATCGTTTACTCACTGTCATGTTGTTCCAAAACTGTTTAACGTTATATCTCCTAAGGAACACAAAATTAGATGTCATGCACAATATAAGGGACTGACAGCTTCAGTCACCATTCACTTTCATTGCATCTTTTTTCCATAAAATGAACGAGAACTGAAGCTGTCATCCAGCCTAACAACTCCTTTGGTGTTTCACCGAAGAAAGAACATCATACGGATTTGAAATGGCATGAGGGTGAGTAAATAATGACAGAAGTCTCTTTTTTGCTAAATGTAGATTTGGAACGGAAATGTATTTCAAGTGAACAACTTTTACTTCTGCCTGCCTATAACAAATCCTCTGATAGAAAAATAGAAGACCTAATAATAACTCTAAGTTTAAGGTCTGAGTTTGACTGCAGGGGACCAAGCCTGGAATCAAATCTCTATTTTTATATCATAGAGCAATTATACCCGAAGCATACAGAATATGTATGTGAAGAATATGTACACCAAAACAGATGCAAATAATTTGTATTTTTTCAAAGGCCTGTGATATTTTTCCGGCCTGGTTGAATGTGCCTGTAAAGTAATTTGTCACTTCTTCCTGGCTGTCGTTTTCTATATGCATGGTGACTATGCTGCAATCAGTGGAACACAGGGACTGATCTTTTCCTCCCAAAATGGGTCATCCTCATGAGGTAAACAATCACTTAACATCTATAAGTGAGTTGACTCAAGTTATTATTTAGGCAATCTTTATTGACAAATGACAAACAGTCCTGTATGATTGGTTACATCATATATATGATGATCCAGCATGTACTGCAATTTTCATGACATCAGGGTGACATGAATAGCAGATGTGTCTCTATTACTCAATGAATCAAGGTCATATGATCTTTGTACAGATCTGACGGTGTTAAGTTGCATAAATCACTGTTGATGTTTCCGGTGCTGTTTATTTCAAATATGCTCTGCTCTTTTTCTTCTAAATTCTTTCGTACCAACGCATCTCCTGTTTATACACAAACACACACATGCATTTATACACAAAGAAAGCACTAAATCGAACGAGGCGTTGACAATCTTCTCCTTATATAAAGACTGAAGGGATGCTGTGAATATAGGCCATCAATATAACGTTATGCGCGACACGCTGTCTCCATCCTGCCTGTAATAAACAAATTAAAGCTATCGTTTCGTTACGTCAAGAGCTGAAGGCAGCGACTTGGACACTCAAACACACGCGCACGCACACCGACGCCCATTAAAACACCACGCACGCCACACGGCAAAAAGCATTCTGTGTCCAAAGCCCCTCACACACATACACACACACACGCGACATAATTCAGCTGTAGGATATGGAGAGTTTGAGCAGTGTACACTAACAGCATCTCGCTGCCACTGCCATTCAAACGTCCATCGGTTATTGATTTATTGGCCCTTAAGAAATTAAGAAAGCATTGACTCACCGCATCTCATAAAGCACCGGAATAATAGTAAGCTCTGGATGTGTTCAACAGCATCGGGCTGTGTGATCTCGGAATGCTCCTTAATTCCCTTGACAGTGTGTCCGTGTGTGACTAAAACACGCAGATGATGTTTTGAGCTTTCGTTCCCAGATGCGCCTTTACTTGGCTCGAAGCCTCCTGAAGAAGCACGGTGAGGAACAGGATATATCGAGTAGCCTATCCTTCGTCCCCCAAACCCAATGGATCTATGGTGGACATGGGGGATCAGAGCCCTGTGTTGTATCCCGATCAGTGTTTTTCTAGAATGAGAGGAAAATGCGCAGAGTGGCTCCAGCGATGGCACAATCCGCGAGATCAGCGCCAGTCCATCGCTAGATCGTCCGTGCGAACCGACAGCTAGGGAACGAGCGAGAGAGAAAATGACAAGCCAATTTGGAAGCAAAGTGATGCTTGATTCAAGGATGGAGGGTGGGAGGGAAAGAGAGAGAAAGGGATGATAAGAGAGGGCGGTAAATCTGGAGCTGGGAGGACTTGAGCACGCTCTGGTGGCCGACAGCGCGCACAGCAGTGAAGGGTCGACCTTCCTATCACCCGCGGGGTCATTCAGAGAAAGGAGTGCACTGTGTGACTTTTCGATTTTGAAATGTTTTTTTCCCCTTTAAATTTCTTTAAGCGTTTAAAACCTTAAAAGCACGTGTTTGCGTAATAACCTGCAATGCCACCCCAACTAATTTTAAAAATTGTAATGATGTTAGGATTCAGCGATGTCTAAGTAGGCCTACCCTATAAAAGTAACAAGGTTCACATGTAGTCAAGCCTTTGTAGACAGGCCCAGGACACTACAATGTATTTAAAAGATTAAAAGAAAGAAAATATAATGATAGCTCTACACATGTCCAGTTTTTAATAATCAGTTTAATGTACACTGTAAGTGAGTGAGTGAAGTGACATGTGGCCAAGTATGGTTACCCATACTAGGAATTAGTGCTCTGCATTTAACCCATCCTAAGTACACACACACACCGTGAACACACACCCGGAGCAGTGGGCAGCCATTTATGCTGCTGCGCCCGGGGAGCAGTTGGGGGTTCGGTGCCTTGCTCAAGGGCACCTCAGTCGTGGTATTGAAGGTGGGAGAGAGATATTGCTAGATGTGTTGAAAACAATAAAATCTTGATGACCTTCTGGTCGTTTTTTTATTTGTATTTTTATTAAAGAATACATTTGCTTCCTGTATCCTCTATTCAAACCTAAAATGTAATTGAATTACAGTGAGGTCAAATTACATGCAGTCATTGGCAGGAAACCCATGCAATTTTGACTGAAACTATGGTATTCTACTGTGAACTAGTATATAGTAATTTCCTGTGCACAAACACAGTAAATTCCTGTAGATTTCACATGAATTTTTTACAGTGTAGGCCTAAAATCATGGAAAAAGGGCTGGCTGAGATTTAAGCATTTTAATAGGCTATTGTTCACTGACAAACGTAATAAAATATAAGATAAAGACAAAGACAGTCTCCTTATATCCAATCACGAAAGTAGAATTTATTTATTTATTTATTTACCCAACCAAATTTTATTTACATCATTCTAATAAGAGTTATGGTGGTAAGTGTTGATGAATAACCGAGGGATACAACTTATGTATACTGAAATAAGACAATAATATATACCATATATTGACACACACCTATCTATATTATACAATGGTCGCCGTGATTTTGCCAAGTAAGACATGTTCCTGGATCAACATAATTGTCCAAAACATAGACCTAACCCTATCCCTACCCCTACCCATGATTTATCCCTAAAATCAGAGGGAAATTATAGCTGAATAACAAGGGTGTAGAAGCACCTAACTCTGGCTGTAAGGCTAAAACTGACATTTCCTGTAAACTTATCCCTCATTTCTGATTGGTTGCTTGGAATGTTGTTCCAGGATCAACAAGGATGTTGATCCAGGAACATTTTGCTGTTTTCCAAATCATGTCAAATTGAATTTCCCATGGACTCCAATCAAATTATTCAGAGAAAAAGGAAGTGCCTACATTTCAAATGTCATCACAAAGGTCCTGAATAGGCTACTTACAGTGTATTCGTTCAATATAGCCTATGTTGAGTTTTTTCTTTTTTATAAATTCGCAAGTTATCATGCCATTTCTGTCAGAAATACGTGTAAACAGATGTGAAAATAATTTAAAGCATTTTAGCATAATGCTGCAAAACAAAATTCAGAATAAAATGAAGGAGATGCTGAATAATCTGAATTACAGTGTTAAAGTGTTCATTTACAGATATGTTGGACAGCCTATATCCGCTATGAGAGATACAATGAAATAGTTTTTATGGAATGGTACTGCAGTTATTTAATGCTTATTCATATTGCCGTTAGCTTCCAAAAGGTTTTACTATCGTAATAGGAAAATATTGCATAATAGAAAATATCACATTGGCAAATTATAATTTGTGGACAAACACTAATTTAAATGTCTCTCATGAGCAACAGTAATAAGAGCTGATGTCTCTGGTATTTCATTAAATGAGGGGGGAGAGGCCTGAACATCCATTTACATTAAACTCATGAGGATCAAAGGCGCATCGCGGACATGCGCGGTGACAGCCAGTTATCACTCACGCAAAGCCTAGGCTGTCTAAATAATGTTGGCTGTCTCTAATGCGACTTTCGACATTTGAAAATGTTTAAAATTGACTCCCGGCTTTTAATCATCCGATGAGGCGTCCTCGAAAGGAAGTTTTTCATGAGCTGCGGGGAAACCTGTTGATCTGAAGGTAAATGTGGGCTGAGAATTCAGCGTTTATTTATCTTTACGGTAACGAATGAAGACAGAAGACTGATAGACAACAAGCGATAAAACATCCAAGAAACGGCATCGCAGCTGTCAGTTACACCTGAACCAACGTGCTGATTTGACCTATTTTTGGCTATCGGATTTATTTTAGTAAACTGCTAGTTGTCCGTATCTTTGATACAGAGCACATGCTCTATTAATAATGGATAACTTGTTTTAAAAACGCAATTATGCATTTATGAGCTACATTTGTAAAAATTATAGGCCTAATGGACAACAAATAGGCCTATTGATCATCTAAAGTTTTCATCTATTTTGTCCGCCATCAGGTTTAAGTAGTGGCCCTCAACTGTCTTAAAGACGTTTTAAACAAAACACTAACGATTTTTTTTTTGTGATATATTTGCGAGGTATAAATGTAGGCCTATAGCCTAATAACTTAATGGCAGTGCAGTTTTTCTATGAAACCGAGCATCTGTTGCTATGGTTACCCCCAATTTATGTTTGCCTAGCACACTAACTTGTAAAATAACTTTTGTGGTTGAAACGTAAACCTTTTTTAACCTCCTTTGGTCTCTTATAGCCCCGTAATTCGCACCCTGATATGTTATATTGAAAATAATAAACATCTTTGTGTAGAATACACTTGATATAATTTGTCTTTAAACAAATAAAATGCATGATTCCTAGCGTGTTAGGATATTACTTTTTTTAGGTTAAATCTTACGACCCCGTTGGAGGTTTGCCGAGGCCCTCTGGTTCCGAACTACTGCTGTAGCCTATTTACATATTTATTTTCATATTTACACATCTATCAGCTTCTCTGTGATTCGCCCGTTTAAAATAACCCTCCTGCTTTGTTTTCTCGTAGTTACTATTGTTGTCCACGACACCGGCCACCGCCAGGCGCTTACAGCCCTATCAGGTAGGTTGTAAGGACATCTGTCCCGGGTAATTACCGTCGTTCACAGTTTAAGTCCGTTTACAGCTGCTAAGCCTCCCCGGTAAGAGCATTACCGGAGCAGCGCAGCGCAAACACGAGCGCTCTCGCAGTACACGACGAGCGCGTGCAGATCGCGAGAACCTCCCGTAGAGGTGCGAGACTCCAACCCAGATTACATCAGCATGAATAACAGATTACAGCAGGTGTTATCAGAGCGATCAGCGAGATATGAAGTGAACCATCAATGCAATTCATAAAGCTTGTCATCGGTTACAGAGATAGACGGCGAGCGCTGCCAAATTGCGTCGCTCTCACTTCATGCCAAACGTCACCGTTGCTGTCACAGGTAAGGACTGTCAGGTGTGCATGCCAGTTAGTGATTAAGATGCTGCAATCCACGCAAATCCCTTTTGAGTAGGATGTGAAAGGGACAAATCTGTTTGTTTTTGTTGTTTTGTGTTTTGAATATTTTCAAGCGTTTGATTGCCATTATGTCTGAAGGCCCTAGCATGAATTTGCTTGTGTTGTTGCAGATGTCAAAAAGAGAGTGGTGATAATACAGTACTCAGAGTTGAAAATGATGGGTATGTATGAAATCCTACCACAATATCATGTGTCTCAATCTGTCTTCTTTCTCAATTTATTATATTAAAATATTTGCAAGTTAACATGCGTAGGCTATGTATGAATATTACATGTAGCATGTTGTATACACTCTCATGTGGGTTATGAGCTGATGTCATTGCATTTGCCCATTTTATTAATATATTTGTGTGTGTGTGTGTGTGTGTGTGTGTGTGTAGACACACAGCGTGCTTTGCTGGCAGTGGAGCGGCTGCAGCAGAGACTGAAGAAGAGGGGAGAACTGCCTGCTGAGGAAAAACTCAGTCTGCTCAAGAGTGTCTTACAGAGTCCCCTGTTTCACCAGATACTCAACATGCAAGAGACTGAACAACAGCATGAGAAACAACAGGTCAGAGATCAACATCATCATCATCATCATCACAGTGCATCACAAAAAAGCATACATTAACACTAAAATATGCCAAAACATTAAACAGAGCCTTTACCATCATTTAAAAAAAAAAAAAAGTATTAAATTACAGAAATGTCAATTATCATAGAAATTATCATATTATGTATTATGGCTGATAGTAGTTGCATAATTATGATACATTATACAGCATGATTCTGTCATTAACATCATAACTGATCTTGTGAAATGCAGAATTGAACAAAAGTATATCTTATGCTGATATCCAACTCCACCACTATTACCTGAAATAGAAATTTACATGCACGTATATTTTATAAGGCATTTATACACCCAGGGAGCATCATTTCAGATATTCCTTGATGTGAACAGTGCTTTGATTCACCTCTTACATCATCTCTGGCTCTGGGTCTATTATTAGTTGAAATAAAACATGATACAAACCTTTCTTAAAGGAATATTTCAGATCACGCCCAAGTGACAACATTTGTGGCATAATGTTGTCCCTCTTTGCGTTAAAAAAGAAAAAAATTGTGGTAAGTGATGCACTTAAAATGAATGTGAATGGGGCCAGTCCATAGTTTGATTCAATAGTAAGTCACAAGACATAAACAATATGCATGTTAACATGATTTTAGTGTGAAATGAAAAGCTGTGTAAAGTTCTACTTAATTTTTACAACTTTGTTGCCATGACAATGAATCACCATTAACCA